TGTATTGCAAACCATAATCCCCCAAAAGAAAGAGAGATAGAGAGAGAGAGAGGAGGGATAGAGAAAGGGAAGGAGAGAGGGGGGAGGGAGAGAGAGGGAGCGAGAGAGGGAGAAAGAGAAAGCGAGTCTGCTATAGAGGTAGAGAGGTGGTGGGAGGGGTGAGTGTTGAAACATTATATAATTGAAATTAAATTCAATTATGGACAAACTTGTAAGTGTATATCTCACTGTGATTCAATAAAAATATTTAAAAAAATCTCCATTATACAAATCACACTTGGTGAAAAAAATACCTTTCTTTGGGAACATGACCAAGACAGTTAGCACTTTGTGAAGCTCCTAAGGAGATTGCAAGGTCTATACAGTGGAGGATGAGAAGAACAACTGATGGAAAGCATTCTATTGTGAAGGGGAGGGTTAGGTGAATAAGATTTTTTTACATGTGTTCCCCTGAACTAGGAAAAAGAGGGACAGGTTAGATGGCTAAGAATGGGAATTAACATTTCACTTTCTGGTTGCTCACTTCAGTTCACTACTTAGTACAGTTCTGACTTGTATTTTCTATCTTATTTCCCAATAATTAAAATTAATTATGCAATAAAGTTTCTTTTCTAAAAATCCCCTCACACAGAATTTCAAGTCACATGCTCATGGTTTTGTGTTATAGACCATCTATTAAACATTCATTCTTAGAAATCAGATCTCAAGTCTAAAAGAATTTTATTCCTTGAATTTGAGTAGTACTTTAGTTAAAAATCGATGCTTATATTTTTTTTTAAAATTTAATCCTAGAGTTGAAAAATTGATACTTATTGTGTCTGAAAAAAATCCTGTAAAAATAAGTGGCATTAGACACTGGTTCCTAGGCTCTTCAGATATTTTGTCCTATTTTCTTGTGATGATGATTTAAAAGTTGAAATAGCTTCATCACCAAGGAAGAACATCAAAGTCAAAGTAATCAATTTTTCTATGTTTTTGGGTCATACCTGGCAGTGCTTGAAGTGCCATCTCTGGTTTCAGGTCACATCTGGTGGTATTCAGAGGACCAGGTGGTCCCAAGGATTGGAACATGCAAGGCAAGCACCTTAATCCCTGTTGTATCTCTCTGTTGCAGTTAAATCCTGTTTTTTTTTTTTTTTAATGACTAAATCAACACAAGGACTCCATGTAAAAAGGGACGTGCTTTCTAAATCATTAAGTGTCTTCGACATCATCAGTGAGGGGTGGGGGGTTTAATTTATTTTCATTAGGAGTGTGCTCCTTCTTCGGGCCATACTCAGAGACACAGGGGAATAGTCTGGTTGTAACGAAGCAAATTTCCAGGCTTTCTATAGTTTTTACTACATTGGAAATATTCCTGTGAATTCAAGTCCATCACCACAAGACAGCTCTCTCAATCTGATTTGTAGCAGAAACTGTTTTAATGACCCTCAGTGGACAGAGGAGAACACTGAGGCATTAGCACACAACTGTCGACAATCATTTGGTTCATTTCACGGTAAGACCAGGACACAAAACTTGAGTTGGGGATGAGACATGCCTAGGTGAAGTATCCAGCTGGAGCAACTATTTTTCACAGATAATTTTTTTCTGAACTTGGGTTATATTTTGAAAGGAAAAACAAGAGGGCTTGAATATTACAGGGGTTTTATGTGAGCAGCACCAGCTCTGTAATCAGCAGTGTCCTATACACAGTAAAAGTGTGAGCTCTTTGATAGAAAGAATGACAAGGTGGTGAGGGAGCAGAGCATCAGGCCACATGGAGGACGTGGTACATAGGTACCAACCACAGCCTCCGGAAGTCAGGCTTCTCTAGCACCTATGGTTTGCAGGTGAGTGAGTCATGACTTGATAAGGGCATTTATTTTGTGCAGGATCTAGTGAGCACAGCTAGTACTCAGGCATAATAACCATTGTGTCCCTTCTTTTCAGTTGCATCCAAAGTTTTTTTTTGTCCTAAATTAAAATTGTGTGTAGGGGCCAGAGAGATAGCGCAGTGGGTAAGGCACCTGCCTTGCACAAAACCAACTTGTGTTAGATCCCAGCATCCCATAATGAGCTCCCGAACCTGCCAGGAGTAAGTCCTAACACCACTGGGTGTGGCTCAAATCAACAACAATAAAGTGTATTCACTGTAATATCTTTTCCCCTGTTGTATCCCAAATAAATAAATTGTGTGTGTGTGTGTGTGTGTGTGTGTGTGTGTGTGTGTGAAGTGGGGGGAGGCAGGTACATATTCAAGTTTGAATTTGTTTTGCAGAATTGGGGCTGCAAAACAAATTTAACTCAGGGTCTCACACTTGCAAGCCAAGTGTTCTACAGGTGAGTCACATCCCTGACTTAAGAGAAATAATTGTGCCTTATTCTGTGGTAGAGTCGTCAGGTATTATATTTATGAGATTTCCTTGACCCAAAAATTATGAATTATTTTTGGTAATTTACTCCACCTCATATATTATTATACCATTTTGACAAAATTATTGGATTATCAAAAAACAACTGTGTTTTGATCTTTATGGCTCTTTCAGTAAATCACCAGAAATGCCTTACGACAAAAGAGTTTGCTTCAGGCTTATACATCTGAAACTCCGATTTGAAATTCTCAGTTACTTTCTTCTCTGCAGTTCAATCACTACTCTAGAATTTCCATGTTAAAACTATGCCGTTATTAACCGTTTTAAATATTTTCTCTAGGACTGGAGTGATAGCACAGCAAGTAGGGCGTTTGCCTTGCACGAGGCCGACCCGGGTTCAATACTTCCATCTCTCTTGGAGAATCTGGCAAGCTGCCGAGAGTATCCGCCTGCACAGCAGAGCCTGGCAAGCTCCCTGTTGCATATTCGATATGCCCAAAACAGTAACAAGTCTCACAATGGAGACGTTACTGGTGCCTGCTCGAGCAAATTGATGAACAAAGGGAGGACAGTGCTACTGTGCTATTGTTAAATATGGAATACAATTCTTGCATTAAAGCAGACATTAGAGGGACCAAAACTGGGGTGAAGGGGAAAATCCCTTGGTGCAAACTCTGGGATACAGAGGAAATGGGAGGAGTGAACAGAGAGGTTTTTGGGGAGGTAAGTGGAAACCTGTCTCAATTGCACACACACACAAAAGTATGAAGCTGCATCTCTAAAAATCTATCCGATTGTAGACCAGTCAATGAAATAAATTAATACAAAGTTTTCCCATTCAGTTGAAAGTTGTCTGCAGTTGCAAGGGCTGTAAGTCAAAACACTTGGAAAGTCATTAGATTCTCTGGAAGAACCATGTCTTTTTTAGAGTCAGGAATGTGGGTTAGGGAGAGGGCAAATGTCTTGTATGTGGCTAAAAAAAATCCCCATATCACAATGTTTTAAATTTAATAAGCATGTATACCCTAAAAGTCGCTATTTCTCCCACTCACCAAATTCTAAAATATATGCATTTTTGAGAAATAATTTAAGAAAAGTCTTTAGGGTATTTAAAGTGCTTGGACTGAGTCCAGACTAATACTAACATGCTAGTCAAACTAGGTAAAAAGAACATTGTTATTAGTAATTTTTTAAAAAGTGCATCAAAACTTGGAGAATGTTAGAAGGAATAATGAAATTACAGAACAGGTTAAGGTTATATTAGTGGAGGAAGGGACAGGAACAAATTCTCATCTCTTAAAATTCCTTTGAAAAAGCATTATTAAAAACTTTATGAACTTTCTAGAATCTCGGGAGAATTATGAACCTCACATAATTACCTGATTCAAAGACATATTTTACCAGAAACGCGACGCTTGGCCCAGATCAAGGCAAGATGGAACGAAAATTGTCTCTAAAAAATCTATGATCCTGAGAATGATTAATATGTAATCTCAGCTTCAAGAAGACTATTAATAAACAGAGATGATATCTAGAGCAGCTGAGACTCAAATAATAAATGGCTCTTAATAGCGGAATGAAAAGAAATTGGAAATCAAGATAATCATATCTGATATGTGCAGAAAATGAGTCAGGGGGCTTTGGGAGACTTTGAATAAGTCATAATAAAGTGAAACCTTTATGAACCACATTAAGGAGTAAAGGAAGTCAGTGGAAACTTTGCCTAATTATCTGAAGAATGAAATAAAAGAAATTAATTTTACGAGAGTGTTAAGATCTTAATGTCTTACTTTCTAAGCTTAATATCACTTAATGATGAGATTCTAGTCTGTGTCCCAGTCCCAAGGCAGAAAAACCAATTCCATAGCAGAGGAGCAAATCTTAAGTTTAGATAGGCCTGAAGGGCAAAAGATAAACATACTTTATTTGATCATTACATGATATCTGATTATTACAGGACCTTTGGGAGTAAGTTCAAAGAGGACACTTCTACCAGTTCCTTCTCACCTTCTCTAGCAACTTTTTTTTTTTTTTTTTTTTGCTTTTTGGGTCACACCCGATGCTCAGGGGTTATTCCTGGATCTGGACTCAGGAATTATTCCTGGCAGTGCTCAGGGGACCATATGGGATACTGGGGATTGAACCCGGGTCGGCTGTGTGCAAGGCAAATGCCCTCCCTGCTGTTCTACCACTCCAGTCCCCCTTTAGAAACATTTTCCCTCTGTGTCAGAAAACAGGACTTGAGAAAACACTGCTACAGACATCAGGACTTCCCAACCTCAAAACGGAAATGCAGTTTAATTTCCTGCCCCTGCACCTCAATGTGATGTTCAATCTTTGAATGATCTTGGAGTGCTCCCAGGCTGCGTGGATCAAGCACAGGTGGCCTTGGGGGCGGGAAATCAGAAATGCCATTTGGTTCCTGCATTTCCCCTTCCATGCACAGACAGACAGGCCGTGGACTGACCAATGGTTCATGTCCACCAGGCGCTCACCACGAATGAGGGGTCAACTAACAAGATCACAGCCTCCACCTGTCCCCAAGTACATCAACCAGACACGGGAACTCCCTGGACTTGCCCGACCATTCCGACCCCCGCCCCCCTCCACCCGCCCAGTCCATCTGCCACCACCGGGGCCCCTCACCTGCTCTGGGTAGCCATCCATGCTCCTCTGCCCTTTCGTCTGAATTAAGCACCGTCCAGGCTGAGGTCCCCGGTTGGCCTGCGAGGAGGGGATCTGAATAGGCAACGGTGACTGGAACTGCTGGATGGTCACTTTGTTGAGGTTGCCCTCGTAGGGCTGCTGCTCCCGGCTGCGGTGCTGCAGGCTCTGGGAGCCCATCAGGGTCTGGATGTGGCTGCCTGCCTGTGGAGAGAGACGCAGTGAGAGCTGGGAGGGGAAGGAGGCGAGGAAGAGACTGATTCTATTTCATTTTTATTTTTTTTGCTTTTTGGGTCATACCGGGCGATGCTCAGGGGTTACTCCTGGCTCTGCATTCAGGAATTACTCCTGGCGGTTGCGTGGGAGACTATCTGGAGTGCCAAGGATCGAACCCAGGTTGGCCACATGCAAGGCAAAGCCCTCCCTGCTGTACTGTCACTCTAGCCCCAAGTCTGATTCTCTCTTGGGGTTGGTGGCATCACTGGGGGGTTTAGGGCACGCTAACCAGAACCGTGAAGCAACCCTAGACACCACCTACCACAAGGGGACTATGCTCAATCAGCTCAATCACGGCCAGTGAGCGTGGAATAGAATCTGTCAGCTGGACGCTTGTCAGAGCTATCATCTTGGAGAATGTTAGAAGGAATAAGGAAATTAGAGAATGGCCTAAGAACTGGATTTGTGGGAGAAGGGACATGGACACATTCTCATCTCGTATGATATCTTTGGAAAACCATTACTAAAAACTTGAACTTTCTAGAACCCCAGGAGATCTAAGAATCCCACCGATTCCTCTATGGGAGGAAAATGCCTCCCATAGAGGGAGGCTTGGGGGTGGAGGGTGGGGTGTTGGGGGATGGTGGGAGGGAAACAGAGGACATTGGTGGTGGGAAATATACACTGGTGGAGGGATGGGTGCTGGATCATTGCATGACCGAAACCCAATTATGAACAGCGTTGTAACGGTCTATCTCACGGATTTCAACTGAAAAAAATTAAAAAGAAAAGAACCCTACATAATTACATAATTACCCGATTCAAAGCATCTATCTTTTTTTTTTTTTTTTGCTTTTTGTTTCTGTGTTTTGGGCCACACCTGCCATATTCCCAGGTGACTCCTGGCTCTGCACACAGCTGATCCTTACGCTGGGAATCGAAGTGGAGTCTTCTGGGTGCAAGGCAAATGCCCTACCTGCTGGACTATTGCTCTGGCTCCTGTCTGATGTATTTTACCTAAAATCCAGCTCTTGGCCCTTGGAAGGGGACAAAAATGCAGTCGGAAAACTTTACAGAAGAAAAAGCAGCCACGGTTTAAATGGGGGAATCCTGCCTGGCATTTCAGTTTGAACACTACAGGGAAGAGAAATGTCATCTCCAGACCAGCAAGGAGAAGACAATTGAATCCGCTTCTTGATTCCGAAGTAAAGAACTGGACTTGCAGCATTTTCTTTCTGACACGGGGCAGAGTAAGCTTCCGGTGGGTGCCATTGATCTTTGTTAATTCTCTGCATTATTAACTAAATGAAGGGTTATGGTACTTGGATTGTCTAAGTTATAAAGAACGCAAATCCCGTGACAGAGTTCTGTGAGTCTCTGAAGTCTGTGGAAGTATTAGATTTTGAAAGTTTTCTAGTGGTACCTCATTGCCTTTGGAGACTGATCAGCAATTTATGGAAAGTGGTAAGGATCACCCCTCTATCCTTTTTATTTATTTATTTAATTTTTGGGGGGAGTGGATCACACCCAGCAATGCTCAGGGGTTACTCCTGGCTCTGCACGCAGGAATTACTCCTGGAAGTGCATCATATGGATGGGCCATATGGGATGCCGGGTATTGAACCTGGTTCTGCCATGTGCAAGGCAAATGCCCTACCCACTGAGATATCACTTCTGACCCACCCCTTTATCCTTAAAGGCAGTCATTGGAATGACCAAGGCATGGGCATCTTTCAAAGCTAGGGTTCTGGTTTGCCCTTACTCTTTCCTTTGCCCATTTTTTTCAACTTTATTCACTCACTAGCTCCCTGAAAGAAAAAAAAACCTGATGCCTTTTCTACCAACCAAACAGTTCTGTGTAATCTGGAAACCTAGAAGATGCCTTTCAGAATCAGGAAAATTTGGCCTAGGAAGCTAGCACAGGAATGAGAGGTGCATGCGTTGCATATACATGACATTAGCTCAATCTGTGGCATGGTATGGATCCCCAGAGTACTGTTGGGTGGTCCTCCTGACCCCTGGCACTGAAGGGCCTGTGTGTTGAATTGTCCAGGACTGGCTTGGTCAAGTACAGCCAGGAGTGACCCCCCTAGACCTGCTGAGCACTACTTGAGAAGGAAAAAACTGTGACAACCTGGAGGTCTTACCTGGGTAGTGAATGCTGAACATTATTACTTTATCTTAATAAATATCTTAATAAAGGAGGAGAGGGTGATGGTGTTTCAGTCATAGCCAATGGTGCTCAGGGGCTATTCCTGCCCCTAGTGTTGCTCAGAAGGCCACATATGGTGCCAGAGGTCTAAACCAGGGTTGGCAGGATGTAAGGCAAGCACTTAAACTCCTATACTATCTCTCCAGTCCCTGATCTTCAATCCTCTTTCAAACATGGTTAAGCATCATGCTTGGTATGTTATTCTTTACTGTAAGAGGGTCTGAGGTTTTACTTCCTGAAATCCTGTTTTCTTTCCCATGGGTCTTTTACAGGTAGGTATTCTGGAATATATTAATATTTTTACTTTAGAATTCATTAGTTGGTGATATTTGTGAACTTGCCTGATTCATCAAGATCTTTGACTTCTTTGGAAGCATCAGGTTAGAGGAATAAAGGAATAATTAAAAACAAAAATTTTAGGAGGAGATTAATTTCATGTATTGAAAAGATTTTAAAGAAGAGCAATATCAAATAAAAGCAAAAAATAGTGGTCATAGAAAATCAATTGAAGGGGCCTGAGTGATAGTACAGTGGGTAGAGAATTTGCATTGCAAGTAGCCAACCTGTGTTTAAGCCCCAGGATCCCATATATGATGCCCCGAGCCCACCAGGAGTGATTCCTGAGTGCAGAGCCAGGCCAGGAGCACTACAAAATGTGGTTCAAAAACAAAACAAACAAACATATCATTTGTAGAAGATGGAAGTTATGTTGCTTGACTCTAAACAAAAGTTAATTCAGTGAATAAAACATTAAAAATTATTTGATAATGGGTAGAGCCAAAGTTTGATTATATTTTGTGCATAGTTTGATTATATTTGTATATGTATGATTAGATATCTTGATATCATTTCTAATTTTTTTACATTAAAACAATGAAGTTGAGTCATGAGAAATTAGAGAAGTTTTGAGTCACAAAACTATGATATTATAAACATAACCTAGAAGATTCCTAAAGACAGCATACATTTCTGCCCTGTATCTATTCCTTTCTCATTTAGAAATACAAGTGACATAAATGTCATAATCTTCTCAGTCTTTTAGAAACTGAACAATCTTATGGTTAGGTTTTCCCTTACTAAGCAGGAAGTACTTGCAATAGTGATTAGGCAAGAAAAAGACATTAAAGGCATCAGATAGGAAAGGAAGAAATCAAGCTCTCACTATTCGCAGATGATATGATACTATATCTTGAGAATCCTAAATCCTCTACCAAGAAACTCCTAGAAACAATAGACTTGTACAGTAATGTCTCAGGCTATAAAATTAATGCCCAAAAATCCATGACCTTCCTATATGCAAATAATGAGACAGAGGAAAGTGACATGAAAAAAACAATCCCATTCACAATCGTGCCCCAGAAAATCAAATAACTCAGAATCAGCCTAACTAAAGAGGTAAAGGACCTCTACAATGAAAACTACAAAACGCTACTCCTTGAAATAAAGAGGACACGAAGAAATGGAAACATTCCCTGCTCATGGGTAGGAAGAATTAACTTTGTCAAAATGGCAGTACTCCCCAAAGCATTATACAGATTCAATGAGATCCCTATAAGGATACCCATGAAATTCTTCAAAGAAATAGATCAAGCACTACTGGAATTCATAAGGAACAACAAACGCCCATGAATAGCTAAAGCAATTCTTGGAAAAAAGTCATGGGGAGGCATTACCCTCCCCAACCTCAAACTCTATTACATGGTACTGGAACAAGGGCAGGTCCACAGACCAGTAGAACAGGGTGGAATATCCGTACACACAACCCCAAATGTATGAACATCTAATCTTTAATAAGGGAGCAAGAAATGTGAAGTGGAGCAAGGAAAGCCTCTTCAACCATTGGTGCTGGCATAACTGGACAACCACATGCAAAAAAAAATGGGCTTAGATCTTGACCTAAAACCATGCACAAAGGTCAGATCAATATGGACAATATGGATTAAAGATTTCAACATGAGGCCAAAATCCACAAGGTACATTGAAGACAAGGTTGGCAAAACCCTCCACGATATTGAGGCTAAAGGTACCTTCAAAGATGACATGCCACTGACCAACCAAGTGGAAACAGAGATAAACAAATGGGACTATCTTAAATTAAGAAGCTTCTGCACCTCAAAAGATACAGTGACCAGAATACAAAGATAACCTACAGAATGGGAAAGAATATTCACCCAATACCCATCCGATAAGGGGTTGATCTCGAGGATACACAAAGCACTGGTTGAACTCCACAAGAAGAAAACATCCAACCCCAAGAAATGGGATGATGAAATGAACAGAATCTTTCTCAAAGAAGAAATCCGAATGGCTAAGAGGCAAATGAAAAATGCTCTACATCACTAATCATCAGGAAGATGCAGATCAAAACATCTAAGAGATATCATCTCACACCACAGAGACTGGCCCACATCCAAAACAACAAAAGCAACCAGTGTTGGCACGAATGTGGCGAGGAAGGGCCCCTCCTTCACTGCTGGTGGGAATGCCGACTGGTTCAGCCCTTTTGGAAAACAGTATGGATGATTCTCCAAAAATTAGAAATTGAGCTCCCATTTGACCCAGCAATACCACTCCTGGGAATATATCCTGGAGAGGCAAAAAAGTATAGTCGAAATGACATCTGCACTTCCATGTTTATTGCTGCACTGTCGCTAAGAGATGCTTCTGGTGGTGCTCAAGGAACCTGTAAATAATAGCGGGTAAGGTCAAATTTGGTTTAATGTCTCACACGAATTATGGTTCATTGAACAATGCCAGGAGTGACCCCCGAGCAGAG